CTCCCAAGTAGCTGGGATTATAGGCAACCACCATCATGTCTGGCTAATTTTTGTATTTTTGTAGAGACGGGGTTTCACCATGTTGGCCAGGCTGGTCTTGAACTCCTGACCTCAGGTGATCTGCCCACCTCGGCCCCCAAAGTACTGGGATTACAGGTGTGAGCCACCACACCTGGCTAGAAAACAAAATATTTTTGAATGCACTAATATTATGGGTTCTAGTTCTAAATTATAATAACCTTGTTTTCAATGACTTCTGCACAGTATTTAACATTCAACCAACTATGGTAACTCCGGGTATATGATCTAATACTAATGCATTTGCAACCCATTATTCCTTGAGCTGTGAAATAATAATAATGTTGAGGAATGTTAATGAAATATGAAACATAGATTCTAGTTCTATAATATAGTCCTATTTCTCATCATCAGGCATCTGTTACTAGGCACATGGGTGATAACCAGAACACAAAATATAGATTAAGTGTACTGTAGTTTCTGCCTTTAATGAGCATGAAATCCTTAAGACCTAGTAGTGAAATTATATGCAAACCAATAATCATTTTACACATCAACATATCTGACAGCACAGGGCAGCTAATAATGGAATTTTATTCCTACTGTCTAAAATAGTTACAAGTTATATGATAATGAAAAAGTATGAATATTGAGTTTTTAATCTAGTATTTATTCATAGGTAATATACATGGGTCAGACTTAGCACAATCTGTTGATGTGTAAAATGCATATTTTTTGCATATTACTGGAAAGATATTTAACTACACATTGTTTTTTTCCTTTTCCACTTATTGTCAGTTAATTTCTGGCCACTAATGATATACATGAATATAGTGTTATCCAGGGTTATAGTACTTATTTCTAGTTGATGATGAAGTGACTGGAAACTTCCAGTTATTTCTTGATGTTTTATTACATTACTGGTAATACTTTTGGTCTTTCATCATTATTAATTCATTTAGTATTCATTGTGATAATACTGATCATAATAAATTTATTTCAAATTCATGTAGGTGTCATATTTTATTCACTGCTATAGGATTTTCATTGTAATTTGGAACTAATTAATATACCATTAAAATAAAGTGTTACCCACATTTTTCATTTTAAACATAAAATGTCTAGTAGTTCATGACATATTATGTGAGTATTCAGCATCCCAGTGGTAACCCAGCATCTGTACATTTTGTTTTTAAGCAGTTAAAAAAGGGCAACAGAGAAACATGTATAGAAGTCAAATTTTAGTACATACATTAAAGTTTAGTAGTAAGTTAACTACTAGTTAATTTTTAGTGCCTCCTTCCTTTTAATTGCAATGTATAGTTCTTGTTAATATAATATGTGCTTGTATATACACACATTATTAATATCCCAAAAATAAATTATTTAATTTTCCACTTGACTGGTGCCACCAGGAGAGATGAAAAAACGTAAACCCAAAACAGTTAATTTGATTGCTTCTCTTCTGCATTTCTAAAGACAGTTATAAAGAGTGAGTTCACACTAATACATTAATAACTAATACAGTAACTTCAAAAGAAGTATTAGATGTATCTATGTGCCTTATTCATATTTTTTGATTGTTGGTGGGAAAGGAGAAACAAATGTTTTCAGTCATTTAAATGGACTATATTAAGAAGATGAAAAACAAATCTAGTATAGTTGTGTTTAAATATTAATGGTAAAAGGTTTAAGTAACCATAAGAAACAGCTGTATTCTATTATCACGAATTTTATTGCACATTAGCCTTATTGAATGAAATTATTCTTATTTCTTCCACACTCTATCTTCTTTGAGTTGCCTGCTCTACTGGACATTGTGTTGTTGTATCTTTTCCATGTTGACCATTAATGACAGTGTCTTCGTTCCACTATCCCATCTTGTTATTAGTCAGGATAAGATTTTAAAAGAAAAATGAAAAATTTCTTTAAACCCTGCAACCAGTTGAATAACGACCTTGTTTTTCAGGACTTCTGCACAGTATTTAACATTGCTTAATCATGATCTCCCATCTTGATGCCTTCCCATTAACTTCTATGATACTGCACGCTATACTTGTATCTTATGATTGGACCTTGTTTTTTTCTTTTTTTCTTTAATTGTTATTTAGTATCTTTTACTGTAAATCTTTACAGAGATTATTAGACTTTGGGGATATGTGTTTCCATGGTCAAAATTTTGATAATCGAGTCTAGAATTCCTTAATATTATGCATAAAACTCTGAAAACCAAGGCCTTTTGCCTTGGCTTCAACTATTAATCTCCTCATTTCCCCCATCCTTCATTTCTGTCTTGAAATTTGTGTTTTATCATTCTCCTTATAATTTTGCTACATGTGTATACATCCTTAATGAACATCCCTAAGTTTTGTGTGGTTTTTACTTATGTAAATAAAATTATTCTGTATATGTTCAAAGATCAAACTGTTTCTTAGCAGCAATATATATGAGTTCTTATCACTAACACTTGGTACAATTTGAAATTTTGGGGTGTTGCTCTAGATGTTAGTATTTCATATTCTTAGTCTCTCAGTTTATTTTATTGTTTTAGGGAGATTGGTGCTAACTTTTCCCACAAAGTCTCAATACTGCATTTAGAAATTGATCACATGATTTTTTTTGCATTTTCCTTTTCTTCCATTTTACTTTCCCTTTCTTCTCCTCTTTTCATTTCTTACTCTCTTCCACTTTAGAAGCAGTGATGGTTAAAAACCCAGCCTCTGAGCCGGGCGCGGTGGGTCACTCCTGTAATCCTAGCACTTTGGGAGGCCAAGGCAGGTGGATCACAAGGTCAGGAGTTCGAGACCAGCCTGGGGAAACCCCGTCTCTACTGAAAAAACAAAAATTAACCGGGCATGGTGGCGTATGCCTGTAGTTCCAGCTACTCGGAGGCTGAGGCAGAAGAATCACTTGAACCTGGGAGGTGGAGGTTGCAGTGAGCCGAGATAACACCACTGCACTCCAGCCTGGGCAGCAGAGTAAGACTCCATCTCAAAAAAAAAAAAAAAAAAAAAGAAAAAGAAAAAGAAAAACAAACAAAAACCCAGCCTCTAGAGAAGGACTACCAAGGATTAAATGCCAGCTGTGACACTTACTAAAGATGTGACCTCGGGCATATTACTATGCTTTCTCCACAGTGGTATCTTCTTCAGTCAAATAGGGATAATAATTCTCTTCTTCATAGAGGTATTGAAAGGATTACGTATGAGTTAATTCACTGGTATGTAAAATGTTAGGAACAGTGCCTGACACATAAGGTTTTATTTAGTAAAACATATTTGTTTCCTTCTATTTCTCTCAACAGCTCCTTTCATGTCTGCCTTTTTCCCATCATCACCCCAGGGTTTAAGTTACTAAGAGGATAGGGGCACTCATGGGCTCTCAGCAGCTCTGTCATCCTAAAGTAGGGAGAAGTTTCAATGTTGGGAGTAGATCTAGTGAGGGAAGCCTGTGAGTGGCATTTCTCACTGGGATAGAAAATGCCAACAGGCATGTTTCTCCCTCAGGTAGCATTTTTGGTAAGACAAAGGTTGAGTGTTAGAAGTATACACCAATTTCTCTCTCCTGAGGCCATGGGGAGTACAGTATAAGACAAAATAGACAAGATTACTGCCTGCGATGATTTCAAGTTTAGTGAAAGAGACCATTGTTAAATAATTTTTAAATATGATTGTGGTACATATTATGAAGAGCTGTGAGAGTGTAACATGGAAAGGCCTAATTGTAGTCTGGGAAGTCAGGGAAAGTCCTCTGGAGGAAAGGACTTTAAGCTGTTCTGCTTTCCACGTGGAGGACAATAATATGATGCCAGAATACACTTTAGTCAAGCCTCTTTTTTAAAAAATATTTTGTATTTTGAGACGGAGTCTCCCTCTGTCGCCCAGGCTGGAGTGCAATGGCGCTATCTCAGCTCACTGCAACCTCCGCCTCCTGGGTTCAAGCGATTCTTCTGCCTCAACCTCCCGAGGAGCTGGATTACAGGCACCCGCTACCACTCTTGACTAATGTTTGTATTTTTAGTAGAAACGGAGTTTCACCACGTTGGCCAGGCTAGTCTCGAATTCCTGACCTCAGATAATCCACCCACCTTGGCCTCTCAGAGTGCTGGGATTACAGGCATGAGTCACCGGGTGTGCCTTACTCAAACTTCTTCTGTAATTTGTTACATGCAGTACAAATATACAACAATAAGGAATCTTTCCTTTCTTCTATTCCTAATTGTCTAGAGTGGTCTTACACTCTTAATTATTTCCAGCAGATTTTGTTGCGTCATATAGTAATCTTATCACGGTGCCTTTTGTTCATTATCAGGTAATGCAACTATTTATATATTCTCTTGTGTGGTTTTTACAGTTTATTTTACACTTAATCTACACCTTACGTAATCTTACTGATTTATGTGAATTCTCCCTATGTTGTACATGTCTCACATCTGGATCACTGACTTGAATTTCTTATCTCTATATAAGCCCTTTGTCCCTCCCTCTGCCTGACTTTCTGAGAATTCCAGCTATTAATGGGACATGCATTCTGTGATGGATTCATTTAACTTAGAGGCAACCCATTTAACTGATGAATGAGTGAAATATGTGAGCATTTTAGTCTTGCATGATACATGTATAGTAGCATTTAAACAGTAAATTCAAATGATTATGTTTTTAAAATAATGTCAAAATACACATTTTTTTCTTACTCCCTAATAAAAATTACTGGCAAATTAATTAGTTGTAAAATTGGTGATTATCAAAATAAAAAAAGCAAAGCTGTTGAAAGCACGAGGCTTCTCAGAGAAAGGTTAATTTTCAAAACATAGCTCATGATTTTTGAAATGCCTTGTTTATTTATATTTTAATGTTATTTAAAATGACATTTGAATTTATAATTATCATTTTGGAAGAAATTAAAAATCAAGTTTAACAGGTTCACTTGCTTTAGAATTATATTGGTTACTAATGAAATGCTTTTTAAACATTTTGTTTTAGTGTTGTAGATCCATTTAGAATAAAGGAGAATGATGCAGCAGTTAAAATCCAGAGCTGGTTTCGAGGATGTCAAGTTCGGGCATATATCAGGTATATTGGTTTTGTCATGGAAACCTCAGATATATCATAAAAATATATTTCTTAGAAAATGTAATTTATTCATGCAGTGCTCATTTCAAATAATTTTTTATTTTACTCATAATGTAGTTAATAAATTGTATGGTATTCTTTTAAAAGAAATACACAATATTTCTGATCTTTTCTTATCCAAACTAAATTATATTGACTGTATCTCTTTTTAAAATTCTCAATATTGGCCGGGCACAGTGGCACACTCCTGTAATCCCAGCACTTTGGGAGGCTGAGGCGGATGGATCACTTGAGGTCAGGAGTTCGAGACCAGCCTGGCCAACATGGCGAAACCCTATCTCTACTAAAAATACCAAAATTAGCTGGGCGTGGTGGTGCATGTCTGTAATCCCAGGTACGTAGGAGGTTGAGGCAGGAGAATCCCTTGAACCCAGAAGGGGAAGGTTGCAGTGAGCTGAGAAGGTGCCACTGCATTCCAGCCTGGGCAACAGAGGGCAACTCTACCTCAAAATAAATAAATAAACAAAATTCTCAATATTACAAACACACTTGCCCAGATTCCTTTTCCCAAATTCCTAAGGATCTACAAATGACTGGGTTTGTATTTATAGCAAATAAATTCATTGACTGGTAAGAAAGAGGAAAAAGAGAAAACAGTTTCAATCCTTTCCACCATGTTGATAGATAAAAGAAAGTGATGCATGGATGATGTCATTCTGACTCTACAAAGAGATGGAAATTTGTCCCTATCTTAACTCTTAACTCTATCTTAACTTTTTTTTTCAGTGCCCAAACTTTCCCTCAGTGTCCCATCAATTCTTAAAAATATTTTCCTGGATAAGATAGAGGAAAATATACCTACTCCAATAATAACTCATCAGGCTGGGAAATATCCTATATAAAACTTCCTTATCCTGTCTAGTAAGAGCTAGACATGCAAATTTAAACTGTGAAGACAAGGCTTCTCTCTCTCTTTTTTTTTTTTTTTGTGATGGAGTTGTTGCCCAGGCTGGAGTGCAATGGCATGATTTCGGTTCACCGCAACCTCCGCCTCCCAGATTCAAGTGATTCTCCTGCCTCAGCCTCCCAAGTAGCTGGGATTACAGGCATGTACCACCATGCCCAGCTAATTTTGTATTTTTAGTAGAGACAGGGTTTCTCCATGTTGGTCAGGCTGGTCTCCAACTCCCGACTTCAGGTGATCCGCCCGCCTTAGCTTCCCAAAGTGTGGCGATAACAGGCATGAGCCACTGCGCCCGGAAGACAAGGTTTCTTTTTTGGCCACTATATAAACTAAGGATCATGGTGGCAAATCGAGAATTTTTGAATTCAGCAGACTAACATGATGTTGGCTTGGATAGACTGAGGATTACAGGAAAAGAATGAAGAGGAGAACTATTTCTTAACCTCATGCATTTCTCTCTCTCTCTCTCTCTCTCTCTCTCTCTCTCTCTTTCTCTCTTTCTTTCTCTTTTTTTTGAGACAATCTTGCTCCGTTGCCCAGGCTGGAGTGCAGTGGTACGATCTCAGCTCACTGTAACCTCTGCCTCCCTGGTTCAAGCGTTTCTCCTGCCTCAGCCTCCAGAGTAGCTGGGACTACAGGCGTGCACCACCACACCTGGCTACTTTTTGTATTTTTGGTAGAGATGGGGGCGGTTTCACCACGTTGGTCAGGCTGGTCTCAAACTCCTAAGCTCAGGTGATCCACCTGCCTTGGCCTCCCAAAGTGCTGGGATTACAGGCATGAGCCACTGTGCCTGACCCTCATGAATTATTTCTAATTGCTAATAATGATTTACATCAATAGTGCCTGGCTTATTTCGCAACATGTCACTGTGACCTGTTTTATAGTCTTAACATTCAGAAATATTTTAAAAAGTAAGTATTGAAGTAGAATTGGAATTAAGTATTGTGTAATAATAAGCCCCAAAGAAATAACGGTTAGTTACCAATGCTGTTTTCTTCTACTTCTAGAAACGATTAAGTCTATCCCACAATAACTTTCTACTCTTTAAAAGTGCACATAAACTTGCTTTTGAATTTGCATTCTTGAATTGTAGGAGAGTATTCTAACAAAGATTTAACTGACCTCCTTGTTTCAATGAAAGGATACTAATAAGCATATTTTTTATCCTAGGCATTTAAACAGGATTGTAACAATTATTCAAAAATGGTGGAGAAGTTTCTTAGGCAGAAAGCAATATCAACTAACTGTGCAGGTAAATATAAAATGTACATATGTTAGCATTTGAATTGTACAATATACTGTAATTTATTCACCTTAGTCATATTTCCATATAGTTTGGAAATTACTGATGATGAGTATTTATGTAAGGACAAAATTGGGCTTACTTTCTAGTATGAGACCTCTTCTTGAAAGCATTTTCTGATATTTCCATGGATAATTGACCCATTTTTTTGGTACCCAAACTACACTGATATTATTTTTGCTTGAAGTACTTTTCACAGTATATGCATTTATGCTTATTTATTGATGATTGTCTGTACTTTGTAGATGGTGAGCTTTTTGAGAGTGGGCACTACAGCCCACTTCCTTTTTGGATCACCAACATTTTAGGCTAATGCCTTGCCCAGAACACAGTCAATAAATATCCTCATAAGGACGCTAAATTGGTCAAAGCAAACAATAAGCCTTCTTTTGTCTTCTCTTCAGGACTTTCTGATAAATTTTGTTTCATGGGTATAAATAAGATTTAACTAATTTAATAAATGATGTATCATTCCAGAATGGTTTTTTATGGAAAGTTAAACGTATTTGTGGATATATCACAAATTTATTTGTGATTAATTATTATTGGAAAGCAACAAAGATTATATGGTACTTTTATACTAGCTATTGTTTATTAAACAACTGCTGTATACCAGGCATTTTGTGTAATTACTTAATTCGTATGTTAGGATACTTATTAAAAGTAACTGTTGTTACTTTTAACAAGGAACAGGTTAGGAAACTGAGTCTCATCCACTTGTCCATGAACGCATAATGGTACATTTAGTATACGTAGCAACCTTACAGTTGCTATAGAAGTTTTTACATTGGGCACAGTTGTCTGGTAATTGCCAAGATCCTCTGCCTAATCTCCGTAAGGACAGAGACTATGTCTCATTAGCGTTGCACTCTCAGAGCATGGTGCCCGGCATATATTAGATAATTAGCACTTATATCGATGAATAGAAGAATGAACAACAATTCTGTTTCTGCTATGCTGTGCTCCCTTTACTGGTAGAAGCCAAAAATTGACACTGATTGGTCAGCAGTCTGAGTATAGTAATTTTTTTTTTTTTTTTTTTTTTTTTTTTGAGACAGAGTCTCACTCTGTTTCCCAGGCTGGAGTGCAATGGCATGATTTCATCTCACCGCAACCTCTGCCTCCTGGGTTAAGCGATTCTCCTGCCTCAGTCTCCCAAGTAGCTGGGATTACAGACCCCAGCCACCATACCTGGCTAATCTTTTCGTATTTTTAGTAGAGATGGGTTTCTCCATATTGACTAGGCTGGTCTCGAGCTCCTGACCTCAATCTGCCTACCTCGGCCTCCCAAAGTGCTGGGATTACAGGTGTGAGCCATCATGCCCAGCCAAACTTTTTTTTCCCTTCTCCTGTCTTGATTTTGGTTAAAAACATCATTTTAAAAAGTAACTCTTTGAATTGTTCTGAAATCAAATGCGTCTATTTCTGTTTCTGCTTAACATTTTGGAACGGAAAAATTGGGAAGAAGATGTAACTTATAGTTACAGAGTATATGCTAGGTGCCAGATACTGTGGTAAGCATTAATTATGCAATATCTCTGAGTCTTGTACCTACCTTTTGACTCTCACCGAACTGTAGAAAGAGCACAGGCTTTAGACCTGATGACGGAGGTTTGATGACTGTGGGCAAGTTATTTAACCTGTGTGGACCTTGCTTATGTCCCCTGTCTTTAAAATGAAGATAAGAATGTGTGGCGGATTTTTGTTAAAATTAAGTGAAACACTGTACGTAAAACACCCGGAACTGTGATTGGCACGTAGGCGGTGCTCAAAAATGGTAGTTTTTCATTTGTGACGCTGTTGTTAGTATTATTCAAAAACTATCGAGGCAGTTTGCTTGGAGTAATATAAGTGAGAGATTTTCAAATCAGATTAGCTCCAAATTTTACATTTCTCTCACTTATGCATAATCACGTGATGATTTTATTATATGTGAGTGAGTGTAGTGTGTGGATAGATAGATAGATACGTAGGCATACGCTTTTTATACAGTGACTCAGGAAACCTCCTGTGTTTTGAAGCTTGTCTTTCTTAGAGTTATTGACAATAGAAATTAGGAGGACAGCAAAGAAACACAAAGACAGATGTCTTTAAAGCTGTATTTATAATAAATAGGAAAGAAAACTGAAGAGGGAAAAGAGACTTTCAGGGGTTAAGTGTAGATATTGGATTCACTATCAATCCATCTAAAGTGCTATTCAAATGATAACTCTAGAATCTACAACTTGATATTTTAGAATATTAAAGGTGGTCAGGATAATTTGTATTTCCTTCATATTGTCTATGTCTCTGTGTTTATATACTAAAATTAATATAGTTAAATATATACTCTTCTATATTGTTGAAGAGTTAAATTTGCATGATCTTCATGAGATGCTCTTCTGAAAAAATGAGTGTGGTTGTAGAAACAATAGTTTTAGGAATCTTTGACAATTGCTGACATTGGATAGAGCCAATGGAAGCAGATGAAGTCATATAAAAGGAAGTGTTATAGATGTTTCCTGGGCATAATGTCATATTCTTAAATAGTAAAGGAGAGATTTGATTTTTCTTCTTTTATTTTTTCAGTTTGATTGCCAGGAATTTTGGTAATAACCTTTTATCTGGTATACATGTGAAAAACCCGTATTTCCTATTTAAAGACACATAAAACCAAAGAATTCCATTGGCTACAGTATATATTCCATATTCTAATTTATACCATTTTGATACAGAAGTTTTATTTCATATTTAGGTCCATTTGTCTCACAGCTATGGAAAAAATGTAATCAAATATCAGTGCTTCTTTTGTATGTGAAATTCCTGTTGATGGCTTTTAAATACTATTTTTAAACATAAGTTTTCTTACTCCACCTTCTTTCTCCCTTCTTTTTCTTCTTTCTTTCCAATTTTGACATATGATCTTTATTTATTTATTTATTCTTATTTACTTATTATTGTTTTTTTTTGAGACAAAGTCTTGCTCTGTTGTCCAGGCTGGAGTGCAGTGGTGTGATCTTGGCTCACTGCAACCTCTGCCTCCCTGGTTCAAACGATTCTCCTGCCTCAACTTCCCGAGTAGCTGGAATTACAGGGACCTGCCACCACGCCCGGCTAATTTTCTTGTATTTTTGGTATAGACAGGGTTTCACCATGTTGGCCAGGCTGGTCTCCAACTCCTGGCCTCAAGTGATCTGTCTGCCTCTGCCTCCCGAAATGCTGGGATTACGGGCATGAGCCACTGTGCCCAGGTGGCATATGATTTTTAAAATTTATTGTGCTATCATTTACATTCAGGCCACTTTAAAATAAATTTTAAATTTTGAAAAAAAAAATCAGATTTACAGAAAAGTTGCAAAACTAGTACAAAGAACTTCCATATATTCTCCACTCACATTTTTTTAATCAAGTGAAAAAATTCGCATTATTTCCTCTTCTCTGTATACATTTTTTCTCTATATACATTATTTTATTCATTTGACACAAAGTTACAGAAGTTATGTCCCCTTATCTCTCAATATATTGCATGCATATTGTTTACATAATCTTTTTTTTTTTTTTTTTTTAAGACAGAGTCTTGCTCTGTTGCCCCAGGGTACAATGGCACAATCTCGGCTCACTGCAACCTCTGCCTCCTGGGTTCAAGCGATTCTCCTGCCTCAGCCTCCCGAGTAGCTGGGACTACAGGTGCCCACCACCACACCTGGCTAATTTTTGTATTTTTAGTAGAGACGGGATTTCACCATGTTAGCCGGATGGTCTCAATCTCCTGACCTTATGATCTGCCCACCTTGGCCTCCCAAAATGCTGGGATTACAGGCGTAAGCAACCATACCCGACCTTACATAATCTTATTACAATATTAAAATCAGGAAATTGACATCTGTACAAAACTATTGTATAGACGCTATTCACATTTTACTGATTGTACCCGTAATGTCATTTATAGCAAAAAATCTTTTTCAGGGTACAAACTAGGATTTCACTTTGTAGTTAGTATTTGTTGTGTCTGTTTAGTCACCTTTAATCTAGAATAATTTTTTAGTCTGTCTTCACTTTTCATAACCCTAATATTTTTGAAGAGTACAGACTAGTTATTTTTCAGATTATTTCTCAATTTTTGTTTGCTAGTGTTTCTTCAGTGTTAGATTCTGGTTATGCATTTTTAGCACAAATACATCTCAATACATCATATTATGATGCATATGTCATCAGTTTGTCCAATAAATGTTGTTAACTTTGTTTAAAGTAGGGTCTCTCGGGTTTCTACACTATCAACTTACTATTTGTCTCTCATGAGGGGATATTTAAATGCTATGTATACATCTTTTTCCTCATTAAACTTTTGTGTGCTAGGTTTAGCATACAATGATGATTCTTACCAGAATCAATTATTACTATAGTGGTCCAACAGAGATTTTCTAATTCCATTGTTTCTCCTACATTTACTTACCAGCATTTTGCTATAAGAGATTTTCCTCTCTCTCATTTATTTATTTATTCATGTATTTATATGAGTATGAAGTCATTGGATTCCTATTTTATTCAATGGGTGGGTTATAGTCAACTACTCTCACTAAATGGTTTGGTGCTCAAATAGTCCTTGGTTTTCTCACTAGGAACTTCTTCAAACCAATTTTTGATAGAATCTTATTACTTAACCAGGATGACCAAGAAATTAAGGTATTCTGTGGAGTAATGAGCACCTTTAGTCCCATTATTTATAAGCGATCGAGGTTGTATGTCAATGGTATGGACAAAGACAGTAGAGTATACTTGTGCATATAAGACGTTCCTGGGTTCAAGCAATTCTCCTGTCTCAGCCTCCCAAGTAACTGGGATTACAGGTATCCCCCCACCACGCCCGGCTAGTTTTTGTATTTTTAGTAGAGATAGGGTTTCACCATGTTGGCCAGGCTGGTCTCGAACTCCTGACCTCAGGTGATCCACCCTCCTTGGCCTCTCAGAAT